GTATGAATACTTCTGAAAGGTTCCTCTAAGGACCTTCACATCCGGAATTTCGAGTACCCATCATTCTCTAGCGGTTCAATATTGGTGAGGTCAACAAACTCACATCCGCCACTAGCCGATGGCTGTCACATGTGGTAGAAAACAGCCATCGTGACCATGCAGCTTCACATGATCTGATCCAATGCGTCCAACAGTGAGAAAGGATCTGTACATACATAAACTAAACCTCTAGGAACAAATTCTTGACACCACAGCCTAGATTTGCAACCCAAGAGCACTGGTGGTGTGCTGCATGGCACTGGCGTCTGCTGCCAGCACTGTTAGGGGTGGGGGCAGCAGCAGCTGCTGACTCTTGTCGATTGCAAGCTGCAGTTTCTTGGAATCCATGAGGCCGAGCCTCTGGACCTCTTTGAATTGTTCAGGAATCTCCATCAGGGCGTGCACTGCAAAATGGGCTTCCTTCTTTGAGTAATCGCCACCATACACTGAGGCCTGGATCATCACCTTTGCAAAGTCCACAAACTGAAAGTTGTCAAACCTTCGTGTGGGTAGGCCATCGTCGAATTTCTCCATGTCGTCCCATGGTCCGTCTCCAACACCGACCATCACAATCGACAGAGGCAGGCTGCTTGCAACCACGATGGCATCCTTGGTGTCCTGGAGGCAGCTCGGTGTCACCTGACCATCTGCAATGATCACCAGGATATGGTACTCCAGACCACTATCAATCACGATTCTGCAGGCTTGCTTGATCAATGGAGCGAACGAAGTAGGTCCACACAACTGCACGTGTGGGCATATCTGCAGATACCGTGCTACTGCACCCTCGAGCCCATTGGCTGGTCGATCCTCAGGGAAAAACGAGAACACCTTTGTGGCACGTGAAGTGAGGTCTCCAAACCCATAGCAAGGGATGAGGTTGTCGTCATCGAAGCTTGCAAGAGTTCTGGCAACAATTGTGAGTGCCTCCATGTATGGGTTGACGGTCACACTGGAATCGTGCAAACAGCGCCCTGCGAATGTCCGCCTTCCTGTCCACTCGTTGCTCTTGGTGAAGTCCATTCCCACAATCAGTTGACTGCTCTCCAGTCCCGCAGACCTCAAGGCATCTTGCACTTCCTGCATCCCAAAACCTGTGCAATTAACACAGCCAACTGGATCCCTGACAGATGCCGTTTTACGTGGACCAGTTCCGCCAGGAACCAAGGCTGGTTGCACAAAACCAACAAATCATCCCTTTACTTTCTGAAACACTGCAGTTGCTCGCCCGGACAACGCTCTTAATGTGAGGGAGCAGCACGAAGGAAAACGACTTCTGAATGACCTCATTGGTAGTCATCATGACACACTCAACAAAAATGGTGCAGAAGACAAGAGTTGGAGAAAGGAGAACGCAGCAAACATCCTAAGCAAGGTAGATGTGCCCTTTTCCACGACAACGCTGGCATTATATGGTGAAGACAAGGAATTGTTTGTTGATTCGAGGGTAAGATACCTCAATGGATTCGTAACTGTCTCGAATGATTCGGCAGGAGGAAGCAGGGGTGACTCTGGCTGCTCTGGCTGTCGACGCGTTCCCACCCATGCCTGTTGCACACGACAGTGGATGTGAATCAATGGATATTGGGCAGAACGTGATTCAGGGATGCCTGTGCGCAGAGGACAAGATGCAGACCACAGGCCACATGACCGCAGTGCCTTAAAAGCCCAACAGCGTCTATACGTCCGTTATCATTGACAACAGTTGTCAAAACTTCCAACGAGTCGTCCAGCTGCACATTCACGCTTGCGTGTCACGCCGTCATTACAGGGTCGCGCACAGGACTACAGCTGCGCACAAGCGGGCATGCGAGGGTTCGGATGTTGCCAACGAGCCGTGCAGCGCAAGATGCCCAGCACCAACCGACGGAGTGACGAAATCAACCAGCCAACGCCTTCTCTTCCCCGTTTTAACCCCGCAGAACGTTCACCAAGAGGAGTTCCTAGCTCCAGAATCATGCAATGCCGTTCCGTACATGCTTACGTCGCGCCATGCGCGCGGACTTGAGCACCAAACCACTCGCGATTCCCGCGTATCCTCCCTCCACCCTACCTGTCCGGCGCGGAAGCCCGCCTGCTTTCTGTGCTTTGGCAGAGGCGAGTAGGGCAAGTGTTCGACAAACGGCTGTGTGCTGTGCCGCATGCCGTGTGGGTTAGGGTATTTGTAGGTGCTGATGACCCCGCGGGTGCAGCTGCGTTGGAAGTTGTGAGTTGACAAATGGAACACATGTACAGACCCACCGGCAGGAGTCACCCGTTGGTTGAGATGGCGTTGGGCACGTGGATGGGCTCATTGGGGCAGCTGCGTGGAGGTTGTGAGCTGGAAAATGAAAGGGACAGACCAACCGCCATATGTCATCTTCTTTTGGAGGTGCAGGGGTTGGGTGGTGGATGCGAGGTGTAAGCCAAATGTCAAATTACATGCATGCAGGGCTAAAATCCCCCTTTTCCTCACACAATTGGGAGCCATAGGGGAAGCCCTGGGACAGCACAGCAAGTGTTCACCGTTCGTCGCAGCGAGTGTCAAAATCTAGCGTTCTGCGAATTACCAAAGTGTCCAGACTTCAGGGACCAACCCAGCCACCAAACAGAAGTACTAAGTGGAAGTTCGCAAAAGGCGAGGTGCAAGTAAAACACGACGAGCAATCCATCCAGCAAAAGCTTGTCAGGGGCTAGGGGTTGGGTGGAACGTGGGAACCATTATTGCAGAACAAAATGCGAGCTCCTCCAGGCGAGGAAACTGTTCGAACTACCAGTAATTGACCACTGATCTGCCTCTGTCAATTACTGATTTGTAATGCGATGATCAAATAGTGGCATATGAGAATCCCGTTTCGAGGAATGCCATCAACAATATCTTTGAACGGCTGTCACCTTTTCTCGATGTTTTGTAACTGGAGGTCGGTGGCTGACCATTGATGTGCAGTGAAACTCCATGAGAGAAGTGAATACAGATTAAAAAGCCAAGTTAAAGAGATGAAAGTCTGACACACCAAGACAGCCGCAGCTGCCATGTTGTGCAAGTACCTGTTCATGTGCTGGCTGACTGGTGCACACATGAAGCTGATTGTTGGCCAGCCTTCCTCCTGCCAACTCAATCAGGTCAATCAGGATCAATCCTGATTGAGTTGGCGGGAGGACGGCTGGCCAACAATCAGCTTCAATCTTTCTAATTTTGGTGCTCGTGAGTTGGTACTGGGGGTTTGGAGCTGTGGGTCGGTGCCGTGGGTCGAAGATGTGGGTCGGTGCTGTGGGGTGGCATTTTGTGCGAGTGTGAAGTGTGAGTTCAGTCTGCCTTTCTCAGCGTGAGTCCTGGTGGGCGAAAAAAGAGGCGCGTTCTGGTGCTTAAAAGAGCCCGAGACTTGTTCGTGGTTCTCTTGGTTTGGTTGTAAGACAAATTGAGTCTTGGCTGCTTGTCCGAACATGCACGGCGAGTGCGCTCGAGCACCGCGTGCACCAAGGTTGCCACGGGGGTAGAACCAAAAACGATTTGACTTGTGCTGCATTGTGGCCCATCGCTGCACGCATTCGATTGCGACGAGCAAGATCTCGAACCGGGATGGCTAAGGAACTTTGACAGAAACTAAAATACTGCAGATGTTCTTTTGAAATCAGAGCCATGCTGATGAGGTTGTCTAAAGCGGATTGGAGAACACGATTTCAAAAGGCACGATCCCATTACTCTGGTTTTCTTTCTTGCCCTGCATCGATTCAGTTGCACCTGTCAATGCTCATACTTATTTACCAAAAGTTATTGATTGACGTCGTCCTCTCCCGCATTGTTTTGTGCGTAACGAACGCCAGTCACAGTCAGGGCCTGGCTGGCCTGACTAGGACGTGGCTGTCTTTACTGACCCGGGGTTGAGGCTTCAGGGCGTTGGGCTGGAAATAATATTACTGCCTGCACCAAATCGGTGACTGCTTGCACCAAGTCACGTGCACACTTTGTCCTAACCTCAGTTTTGGGGGTTAGGTTTAGTTCAGGGTGAGTTTTAGGGTTAGGGTTAGGGTTAGGGTTAGGACAGGTTTAGGTTTAGGGTTTAGGGTTCAGGTTTTAGGTTTTAGGTTAGGTTTGTTTTGACGGAGTTGGACATGATGTGCACGTGACTTGGTGCAAGCAGTCACCGTTTTCGTGCAAGCAGTCACCGATTTGATGCAGGGAGTAATTTTATGCCGTTGGGCTGGGGCCCAGTCAGGTCCCTGACTGTGACTGACGTTCGTGACACGTACGCACTCGCTGGGGATGTCGGAGGATGGCATCTGTTTGCTGTCCTAACCCCGTCTTGTCAGCAGTTAGTGTGCACTGAGCCGGACAACCAAACTGCTCTACTAGTTCATTTGGAAGACTAGTTTTTTTCAGCAGAAACGCCGGCGCAGGAACAATAAAGTACTGTGTTTGGACGAGGAATCACAGCTCGGTGGGGGGCCGCGGGTTGATGCACCCCTTCAGTGAGGACGATATGCTGACGTGTCCAGCCTCCGTCACCAAGATCTGCCCCGAATCATCCCAACACCGCCTCCGGCACGGGGCGCAGCCCCCACAGAAAAGGGTGGCCTTGGCGGCGGCCCTCCGGCAAAGCCCCGCCCGACCAATCCCCTGCAAGCCTCAATCTGGCAGCCGCTGATCACGGGACTCCTCCCCACCTTTGACAGGTGACGCCTCGCCACGTCGGTCCCACGCGGCGCCCCTTTGGACGACAAGACGGGGCGCCAGATTTTACCTAGATATCGCCGTGGCCGGAGCAATCCAGGAGCAAATCCAGCGGGGCGGCGACGAGGCTGCACAGAGCTGCTCGCTGGGTTCATGCTGCTGGCGTCCGGCGCGTCCCCACCGCCCTGCTCGAAGGGCCCCGCCACGCCCTAGCCCCCGGCGACCGCCGCCCGCCTGTCCCCGCATCCCCCCGCCAGCCGCCACGGAATTCGCGCCCAGCGCCATGACGCTCCACGCGGAGGAGAACCCGATGATCGCCGACGGCGGCGCCCACGAGGCGGGCCATGACCAGCAGGTGCGGCTGCCTCTGCGCCCGCGAGCTCAACCGGAACCAGAGTGGTGTGAACCGTCGCGTGGCCCCATTTTCGGCCGATGACAAAGCGGGCCCTGACTTCGGCCGCCTCTGGCACAGGACTCGTCCCCGCCGACCCGCCACGCCGGCGACGCCGATCTCAAAGAGGATGACCCCCTGTTCATGTCGGTCGACTTCCGGATGTACTGCTACAAGGTGGGACCCGGGGCCGCGCCGCCCCGCCCGGTGTGCTTGCCGCCCGCACCGTCTTGGACGGCGTCCGAGCCGCTTGTGTGGCGCCCAGGTGCTGCCGTGCGCCAAGCGCTTCTGCCACGACTGGTCCACCTGCCCCTTCGCCCACTTCTCGGAGCGCGCCAAGAGGCGCGATCCCCGGGGCGTGAAGTACACGGCGATCGCCTGCCCCGAAATGAAGAAGGTGCGCTGTCCTCAGGGTCCCCTGGGTGCGCGGCGGCGCGCGGGCCGGCGGGAGCTTCCGTGGACCGACCTCACGTCCCGGCACGGGGGCAGCGACTCGGAGCGCCTGCCTGCGCGTTTGGATGAGTTTAGCGGGCGCCTTTTTGCGTTCTCGAGGTGACTTCGATTCTGTGTGAGCGGGCGAACAGGTCGGGGCGTCTGGTGCGTGGCGGCATAGGTTTGAAATTTCCGGTTTGCTTGTCGCGCGGCTGTAGAACGGGGCCTTCCTGCCGCCGGCGCTCAAACGCTATCCGCGCGCAGCGGCGCGGAGCGAGCGAGGAGGCGTAATGACGGCCGCACTCGTGCCGACGTACTCATTGGCATCTCGTAACCGTGATGCATTTTGTCGGAGAGTGCAAGCGCCGTTCAACTGTTCTTGGAAGCTTGAAAGCGTCGCAAGCCCTCTCTTTGCTAGCGCGTTTGCCTGCAGCTCTCGATCGTGCGCGCACGCGTTTTGAGACCGCATCCCAATGGGAGATTCCACTGCAGCGTGGTCTTCGCGACTGTCTCGCTCTGCTGGCGGCTTTGCCGAAACTGTGGACGCGCCTGATCTCTTGTCGCCTGCTGATCCCAGGGAGAGGACTGCCCTCGCGGTGACAAGTGCCCCTACGCGCACAACGTGTTTGAGTACTGGCTGCACCCGACAAGGTGAGAGGGGTAGCGGGGGATGAGCAAGGGGAGTGGGTTGGGGTGGAGGCCGGCGAAATTCGGCATTCGGCTTCCGGGCATGGGGGGGCACAGAGGCCAGGGAGCGCGCCGATTGCCCGCCGGGACTCGGACACCGTATCCTACGCGTCTGTGGCGGGCGGAGGCGCATGACAACTGGGGCGAGGCGGGTGGGGCGACGGCGCACTGATGCGCCCCGATCGCCCGAGAATCTTTTCGGGCGTAGTTCGGGGTCCCCAATCTTTGGCCGGATCCGGGGGTGCCCGGCCGTGTAGTGTATTGGGCGCACAGGCGTCGCCCGTCAGACACGTACAGGAAGTGGCCTGCACCAGTGGCCCGGAGCAGGAGATTGCGACGAAGCGGGCCCGTGGTCCTTGCGATGACGTGAGCGTTAGACAAGTGACCCTTGCATCTACGTACCCTTTTGCCCTCCAGAATGGCCGATTTGCCAGCGGTTGACGACAACTGGCGTATCCGTGCATTGCCCGCCAGCCGGAATCCCTTGAACTTAGCTGGTGTTGCATTGGGCGTGCAAAGCGGCAAATGTCTTACATTCAAGAGTGGTTGCACGCGCACGCTTCTCGTTTCCTGGAAAAGGCCACGGAAGCACTCCACCAAGCTCTGTGATGCTGAGTCGTGCTGACTCGGTTCCTTTGTTCCTGCAAACAGGTACCGTACCCGTATGTGTCGCGACGGCACATCCTGCAACAGGAAGGTGTGCTTCTTTGCTCACAAGCCTGATGAGCTGCGTGTGCCTTCCTGCCGACCCTCACTCCCTGTGACCGACGACTCCTGGGATGGGTTCAGCAGCGAAGATTCTGGGGTGGCCGAAGCAGCAGATGAGACGACTGTCAAGGAAGTAGATTCAGGAAACAGTGCAGCTCACAGGAGGGCACTCTCTGTGCCAATGGAGTGCTTGGCTGGACTCTCAGGGCAGGCAACAGACCCTTTTCAAGTAAGCACACCACAGGCCTGTGTGCGTACATGTGTGCGTATTTGCAATGGGGCCAAACCTGTGTTTTGATGAATTCTAGCTTGTCAGGCGACAATTATTGGGACGTGAGAGCCAGTGCGAAAGCCAGATGCTTTGCCGTGGAAGCTAGCAAGCTAAGATCAGGCAAGGAGAATCCAGGAGTCCTCTTGTCCATCCCGTGCAAAGTGTGCGTGTTCATGTGGCCATATAGCACCAAAGGCGTTTAAAGTGCACAACAGATAATACCCCCTGTCCAGGAATGGAAGTTGATTTGCTTTCTTTTGCTCTCTGGACAATGTAGTGCAGACTTTTGTGGATGCATGGATAAACCAGCTGATGCACCTCGCCAAACCACAGTGATTTGGATCTTGTAATTATTTTGCTAATGTTCCCTTGCACTTGTCTGTGATTCCCAAGGGTACAGCTGTTTGCTATTTCTTATGGGCGCTTTCTCATTGATGTGCTGGTTGCTCAGGTGGACCACCGCCCACATAGAGCCTACTCAATGTCGGAGAGCCAGTTGGGTGAGCAGCAGTGCAATGCAGGCAATCAGTTGCCGCAGCCGCCGGCAGCTGCTGACGGCGATGCTGAGAGTTTGACCCGCGCCCTGCTGGCCAACCTGTCACTGTCCTCTTTGCCCGAGGCACCACAATATGGCCAGTCTGCAACAATGCAGCCCCTGCCCCACACCCCCAGCATCAGCTTTGCAGCTGCCAATCCTGCAGTCCTGCCGATGATGGCAGGCGCCAGCCCCCGCGCCTTGTCCATGGGTCTTCCCTGCCTGGCCAACGGCCAAGTCGTCGACTTGCAGGGCATGGATCCCTACAGCCAGAGCGCAGGGCTCCTGCAGGCGATGCATGCACTGCCGGGTGAGGTACAGGGAGTCGCACCAAACGTGCAGATCGATGGTGTGGGGAACGTGGGTGCCTATGGCGTGGAGGACCTGCTTCAGGCGCTGCTTACGCTGCAGTCACAGCAGCAGTGTGGCATTCCTGCAGGTTCCCCTGGGGTGGATGCCACTGGCAGCTTCGCAGATGCGGCATCACTGCAAAACAATTGGCATGGCATGCAGATGGGCGCAGCAGGCTTTGGGAATACGCTCTTCCCCCAGTCTCTTGAGCCGCAGGGGGTCTCTGGACTCCTCTGAAAGGTGTATGAACTGATACTGTGAGAGGCCTGCAGCCCACTTGGGAGGTAGCAGGGAGGTGTGGGGTAGTTGACTCTGCATCAGGCGTGCAGGTATGCGTGTGGCACTGCTTGCAGTCCTATGGCGTGGGGTGCAATTGGGTTAACGAAGTTGGGATCAGGATTGGGTATGGAGGCGTTTAACATCGGGAATCGGAATGGGCGCAACCACAGATAAATATGATCAGAAGCTATCGATTCTGATGCCTGTTCTGTGCACAAGGCGGTGGCTTGGGATGCCCATGTTTGGTGAGCGGGCGTCGATGCCACCAGGACGTGAGGAGGGTGTGGCGACCTCGCGAAGTGGTGTATCCTGCCCGGGGAGGAGATTGCGTGCGTCCTTCCTGAGGGGGAGATGTGTGGCTTAGGGTTGACAGTAGTCGCAGGCCTTGTGGAAGTGTGAGACACCGGCCCCCTGCCCGCCACACCTCTTGTGGCTGTGGCTGCAGGTGTCTCGTTGCTTATTTTTTCTGTCCTTCCCTTCTGCTGACTGGTGGATTCGCTTGGCATGTCCTGAAAGAAGCGGACTGCTGGGTTTGAATTTTGATGCTCTCAATTTTGCTTATGAGAATTCATTTCCGGTCTGCGACAGCGACATCTCTTGACGCCTGTGCTGGAGGCGGGGAGGTTTTGGCCAGCAGTGATGACGAACACAGAGTGTGCCAGTCGGAAGCAGCACTGGCACACTGCAGAAGGGAGGGCAGACGAGCGAATGACTTGAGAGCGTTGGGAGGTAGTTTAAGGCCAACCAGCGGATACGTATTTCGGGGGCAGTTCTTGTCCACTCCCGGGAGCTGGGTGATTTGGATCCATGAAAGGATTGCCCTTTGGCTAGGTATTATTGTCATAAAATCGAAGGCGAGCCAGACTGTGTGTCAGTAGATGATTGTATAAACACGATGTGGGCCACGGGGGTGCAATGGATGAAGAATGCAGGCAAGCATGGAAAAGGATGGAGCTTTCAAATTCGTGGATTGTTGATTGATGGGATGAAATTGGATGGAAGACAGGAGCCCAATGCCTTGGTGGAATTGACCACCCTGGCCCAGGGGCAGCTCTGAAAGGGGCACTATTTTTGAATTAGAAGGGTTGTGCAATTGAGTGCAGGGCCTCTCTGGCAGAGAAAACTGTCCAGTTGCGCCTTTTTGTATGTACAGTACGCTATGTACTGCGTAGTCGATATTGCTTTCTGCGAATGGCGGAGAATGTACCTTCACAATGATACGGTTGTGCCTTCGTGGTTGAACAATTAGTGGTGGGTCCAGGTGCGGCATAGGGAAATAAAGGGAGCCACAATCACGTCTGATTCGCTGCAAATGGGTATGGGTGTACCATCTAGCTCATGAATTCAATGAATTCAAATGTTTTATTTCATGTGGCGGCGAGCTGCCTGGGGTTTTCAGCCGAGGGCTCTGGAATGGCTTGGTGCTTGCACATTCAGTCGAAGAATTCTGTAACGAATTGCTGTCTTCACTGCGTTGGTATCCAAATGGATACCTGTTCTCTAGACCCCTAACTGAGGTTCCATTCCCAGGCACAGGGGCTCACACATTCGGAGGCCGTGCTGGACGCCTTGGGCGTACTGGGATCCTCCCCACTGTGAGCACATTCGAAAGGCTGAAAATTCGGTTCAACGTTTTGGCAGCTGTATATTTGTCCAGCACAATCGATGTCAGTGTGCATAGCGTCGATTTGGCACAGCTCGGACACCCGCCTCCCTCGTCAATCATTGTCGATGCCAGGATGGCTCAGCAGCATGACCATTGTGCAGCGCAGCATCAAGATCTATTGAAAGAATGCAAACAGCTGGCGCTGCTGTAATAGGGGGGGTGGGAAATGGGCTACTGGAAGCGATGGGAGGCGGTGGGCGGCGCCAGGGGCGGCCAGTTGAAACTGGGCCACTTGGGCAAGTCATTCGCGACTTTTTTTCAGATGATCACGAGCGGGTTTTCTTGGGCCTTCCTATCGGCACAAAAGATGGCAGACATGAGACTGGTTCGACAACACCCTAAAAACCCTAACGCACAACCACCCAACCATGACCCGTCTCTGAATCGGTGGCCCGTACTCACACGCCAGTGTGACGCCCAGCTGCACAACCGTATCGGGAACACCCTCCGCGCCCCTTGGTCAAAAGCTTAACTTCGCGCTTCAGTATCAACATTGCAATGTCCCCAGAGCGAAAGCGAATTCGCAGAGGAAATGGGATTCACTATCTTGTTAAGGGGTTTCCGCCCAGGGCGACGAGGGGCGGGCGCGCTGGCTCCAGTCGGACCAGAGCTGCTTAAGTATGGGTGTTTTTGGCGGCCCCTTGGGGTTTCTGTCCCCTTGTACCTTGGGTCAGTAGCCAGTTCGTCGCGTTCAAGGAGGGCCAGTGGTTCTTGGCGCCCTTGGGAGTGATGGGCTTTGGCGGGCGCGAGCAGGGAGTCTACTTAGGCTCTCCCCTCGGTCCCCACTCCATCTTGTTTCGCTTCCCGCCCGGCCCTCCCTATTAGGGTGATGTTCGGTTGATTGGGGCAAGTGTGGGAGTTAAGCACGTGGGAACGAGGAGTGTGGGGCTGACTCGGAGGTTGAGTCATGTGTGGGATTGGCTTAACTACTAGCGAAGCGACTGGGTACACAAGTTGTGGGTACCTCGGGTTGTATTGGGACAAACAATGTCGTTGTAATGTATTGGTCCAGTGTGTGTGTGGACCTGGGCGGGACAAGGAGCCCGGCCCGGCGGAAACGCCCAGACCAGGCCAAAAACCCGCTGGACTGAGCACATCAATATCGACATAGCACGGTGCCAAGAACGAAACAGAATTCGCAAAAAAACGCCCAGACAGGGCCAAAAAGAATCCACCGGTGGCGCTGGCCAGGCTGACTCACAACACTTTGCCGCACGATGCTCCTGCGCCACGCCGCGCACCGTCCACCCGCCCTCCGCACCCGCCCTGTCGCCCCCTGTCGCCGCCGTCCCCCGCGAAAGTACGGACACTCGCTGACACGTCGGGGGGGTCCGCAAAAGCGCGGCGCCATGCCGGCTCCGGTGGACCGCGCGGAGCAGCTGGTGCTCAAGCTGCACGGCATCGAGGCCGTCAAGTTCGGCGACTTCAAGCTGAAGAGTGGCCTGCGCTCGCCCGTCTACATTGACCTGCGGCTGATCGTCTCCTACCCGGACGTTCTCTCCGAGGTGGCGGAGATGATGTGGGCCTGCGCGGGCGAAGCGCAGTTCGACGTGATCTGCGGGGTGCCGTACACGGCGCTGCCCATCGCCACAAGCATGTCACTGGCGCACAGGGTGCCGATGCTGATGCGCCGCAAGGAGGTGAAGGACTATGGGACGAGGCGCGCGATCGAGGGCGTGTATCGGGCGGGCCAGGCCTGCCTGGTGGTGGAGGATCTGGTGACCAGCGGGGGGTCGGTGATGGAGACGGTTGCGCCGCTGGAATCGGAGGGGCTCGTGGTGCGCGACGTCGTGGTGCTGATTGATCGGGAGCAAGGCGGGGAGGGATATCTCGCAGAGAACAACGTACGGCTGCACGCGGCGTTTAAGCTCACGTTCATAGTGGACGTGCTGCTGGGCAAGGGGCTGGTCGACGCGGATTTGGCGGACAGGGTGCGGGCGTTCCTGAGAGACAACCAGACGCAGGCCGGGGCGGCCAAACCCGCGCCGAGGGCGCCCAGGGCGAGGGTGGCCTACGAGGAGCGCGCGAAGCTGGCAAAGTGCCCGGTGGCCCGGAGGTGCTTCGAGATCATGGCCAGGAAGGGCACCAACTTGGCGGTGGCGGCGGACGTGCCCACCGCGGAGGAGATGCTGCGGATCGCGGACGCCGTGGGGCCGCACATCTGCGTGCTGAAGACCCACGTGGACGCTTTCGACACCTGGGACACCGGCATAGCCGCGCAGCTGCAGGGCCTCGCCGTGCGCCACGACTTCCTGATCTTCGAGGACCGCAAGTTCGCGGACATCGGCAACACGGTGGTGGGGCAGTACGGCGGCGGGGTGTACAGGATCGCGGACTGGTCGGACATGACCAACGCGCACATGGTGCCCGGCCCGGGGATAATCAAGGGGCTGGAGAAAGTCGGGCGGGAGAAGGGAAGGGGGCTGCTGCTGCTGGCGGAGATGAGCTCTGAGGGGACTCTGGCGAAGGGGGATTACACGAAGGCCACCGTGGAGGCCGCGCTGCGGCACCCGGAGTTCGTGATGGGGTTTATATCGATCGACCCTGCCAGCTGGGCCTGTGGGCAGGGTGACCCTGGCATGGTGCACATGACGCCGGGGATCAAGCTCGCCAAGGGCGGGGACGACCTTGGCCAGCAGTACAACACGCCGGACTCGGCCGTCAAGGACAGGGGCAGCGATGTTCTGATCGTGGGCAGGGGGGTGGTGCAGGCCAGCGACCCCGGGGCAGCGGCCGCCGAGTACAAGGCGGCGGGCTGGAAGGCTTATCAAGAGAGCCTTGGAGGGAGTTGATGGGCAGTTGTGCAGAACACCATGCTGCTGCCCTGGCCACCGACAAAGAAAGCTTGAGACACAGTGAACGGCGCTGATGTGCTGTGTTGGTGGCGGTGGCAAAAGGCGCTCCGCTGCGACCCAGCAATGGAATCCACGCAGAGCTGGTGTGCAGTCCCTTGCTGCCACCAAAGAGAGGAACTGGATAGGCTGCTGCTCTTCTGTGCCCTTTTCGAGTGTATCAGCACCAACATGCACCCGATCATGGAGTTTGCCTGGGCATGGACTTGAAGCTGTGGGCATGGTCTGACTGGTCTGACAGAGCAACTTTGTGAGTAGAGTCCAACGACAGCTGAATACAAGCACTTTTGCAGCAGGGTGGTTGCAATGTCGCATTGTGCTCCATCGATGGTCGAAATGGCGTCTTGGCATCATAACTGGCGTACCTCCATTCGTGTAGGCATGTGAGTGTCGTCGCATCAAATCTGAAGGACATCACCAGTGTGGTGTGTGTCATAAAGTTGTGGCAAAATGCTTGGATATCAGTGGGCAAATATCCACAGATATGTTGATGGCAGCTGAGCGGCAAGACAGACAGGTGACTGCACTTGATCGACTGCAGATGCTGATATTCTCATTGCATTACCAAAGCGAGTCGGTCGATCAAGCAGATTTTTGGTTGCGAATGTGCGGGAGTTGCAGCCCATTACATGCTGCAAAAACACATGGACTAGGGTGGTAGAATAGGGAAAGCATAGTGTTGCAGGGCAAGCTTGGAATGATCCATGGTTCTTCTGCTCTGGAAGTCACAAGCTGACCAAATGGACTGTTAAGAGCTGTGTGCCCGCTGTTGCGAAACCCATCACGTTTGTGATATCGATTCGCTGCAGCAGTTTCGAGTACGACGCTGCACAGGAAGGCATATTGAGATGTCGTACCCAACAGCTGGGTATAGGTGACCGACAGGTTAACGGATTGAGAAAGCTGTCCGCTAGGCGCATGATCCCTGCAGCTTTAGGCACCCACAGGGGACCTGTTTCTTACGCAGGATTATATACGCTGGTAAAAGGCTGTTCAAACTACAGAGTGTAAAATCGTGTAATTTCGTGCGGCAATCCAGCAGGTTGGGGCAAGACAACCAAAACAATTCATACCCACGTTCTTTCACAGAACGGGGCATCTCAAGCAGAAATGCAACCAATGAACATATGGTGTCGAACCGCACAGCATCATACACCGTATTCCTATTGACATGCCCGATCTATACACTTGTTCCCACATGTGAGTATGTGCCAACCACGACTGTCTAGCCCAGCGAGCGGCCACCATCACCCGCCCTTCACCAGCACTGGGATCAGAGCGCATGCACGAACCGATGGGAATAAATGAAACGTGATCACGTAGAGAATGGCCACCCCGCCATGTGCCCACGCAGGCCTCCCCCCAACCTGAGCGCCCATAATGCCTATGAACGCCGTGCTCGTATGACGATGCAGGGATTTTGCAAGCTCGGCGTCCCTGTGGGGGAGGTCCAACAACCTTTCGCCTTTGTACCTGATCGCCCTGACCACGAGGGCACACTCCAGGGTATTTCGAAGCACGCGGCTGCTTCCATTGGCACGCAGGCCACCAACCACCCAGAGGTACAGCCAGGCGCCCTGTCTTTCCACAGTCACGAACCACGCTCGTGGCAGCGAGGGCAGTAGAAGTTCCTGCCCTCCCCTGTCGCATAGTCCTTGAAGGTGCCCATGTTGTCCCTCTGGTCGCACCCAAAATGAGCCCACCTCTGGCACCCATCGCAACATATCCAATCCGTCCCCACCTCATCCCCACCACCGCATATTGAGCACCTGTCGCCGATGACGTCCTCAGGGTGAACCTGGCAACCAGAAAGGGTTGAGTTCAGTGGTCACAGCATGAAGGGTCCGTTTCCAGTCGCTCTGGGCGCCAGTCCGGTCTACTGGGCGACCGCTTTAGGCTTAGCTCCCTTCCCCGGTTCCACATCCTCCAGATGAGCCTGGCAGAGAGGAACACAAGTGGGGCAAGGGGTCAGCCGCAGCGGGGCTATGGCTTCACACCATTGCTTCACTACTGTAGGGTATATAACATATTGGGGCGCAATGGTGGAGGCAGCGCTGGAAGGGAAGTGTCGTGATGCATGTACGATTTTGTTCAATTCCTTTCTTGAAGGTCATTAGCTAAGACGCTGTCAGGTGCCTGATCACAGCATATTCGTTTGTGCCATCCTGCGCACACTCATGAGGCTAATTCTGCTTTTTCTAGCTCCGACGCTGTTGGAGCAGCGGGTTGTCACTCATTCTCTGGCAGGGGAACCAGACCATGTCCTTCCCCAAATTCGTCCATGGTGTAATGAGCATGAAGCCCTGCAAGGGAGCTCATTTCCCATTGAGACTGGCCAGCGTCCTGAATGCATGCATTCGGACAACTGATGCCCCATTGGACCGATTCGATTGGATCGAATCTTCTCCGCTGCAGCCCACTCAGAGCAGACCAATGCAATCGAGAGTATGTGTGCTGCACTGGGCACCAGGCACACCCATCCCACAAATCCACGCTTCCTCTACACCTCTGAACTTGTTTTTATCTTCCTCTGAAGTCGTCTGCCATTCCAACACACGTCTGCATGCATTATTGTAGTGAGAAATGGATGGCAAGGTTCGCTTTGCGGCAATTCTTTATTTCTTTAAATTGCTTAGGTTTTGCCGTGCCTTCTGGTCTGCAAAGGAGCCGTGCACACACACCTCCAGCGCATTCCCGTTGTCTTGGGGTGCCTCACCTGTTCGTACTCCCACAGGTAAGTCTGATAATGCCTTTTCAGGGCGTTTCCAACGCCGGTCATTCTGTGATGCTCCGTCCAGTTTCTCATCTGGGGGAACACCTGCCCCTTCCAATTGATGCCATTGCCGACCCTGAAGCCCCCCCTTGAGCACACCTCTCTGTATAGGTTAAACAAGTCCAATTTGACACCATTCAGCACTGCCTCTGGGAACTTTTCAAGGTCGATGACTTTCCCTCTTCGTTCCTGGCGACGGCAACACAACCATGATGAGATTACCACCACCTGCTATGCATAGCCCCTTGCTGATAACATGTTCGTGATGCAACCCCTTGTTTCTGACCAAACTTTCAGTATTCAATGCTCATGGACAAGGGACTACCCAGTGCGAATTAATTCAGAGATAACCTACAACAAGCACAATAAGAGAGAAGAACATCTCTATTTGCGAGGCCCAGACCCGAAGGTCAGGAACAGGCACTCCTTGTGACGGGAGTTCATAAGGCCTTGATGGTGCGGACCGGTGTTTTTGGTGTCCATGCGTATTGTTGGCCTTTACCCATGGATGCAATGGCACAATCATAAGGGTTCTGGGAAATGGATGCGCCAAATTTCACAATGCCGGCATGCTTCATGCAGAGAAGAACAACAGTCCGTGTAACAGCAGTTTTGAAGAACACGATGTTGCCCAACAACACTCCTAACCTACGCCCCTGTCTCTGTCTCATCAACAGGGACTGAACATAAATATCGCGATGGTCTGTGGGGAACTGCATCGCGTTTCGTTATGGTGATTGAGCAGCATTCTATCCCAGAGACATCCGTAGAACAGGAGGAAATGCATGCAATCAAATGTCATGCCCGTCAAGATACAAAGCATGTGGTCAGAGAAACGGGTCAGTACCTGCAAGAAGGCTATGAGGTCACCCAGAAAGTCCTGCTCTGTGCACTGATCAAGCGACGGTCTGTTTGATTTGTAGCTCTGAAATGCACAAAGCAAGACACAAAGGCTCAAAAGGCACTCAGCACCAAGGACTCGATGATCATGGAAAAGGAACTTGAAATCAGACCCAACTGTCTGTTGTGGCCACAACATCTCCAAAGTAGGGAATCCACTGGCACGACCACACCCATTGTCCATGCACACCACCCAGCAAGTTTGCATAAAGCATGGAAGCCCCCAGACTGGCCCCCATGCTACTTCCAGATTGTAGGGACAATATTCTGTCACTTGCTGTCAACGCCCTCAACAAGAATGCAGCATCAGCATTGGCCAGAGGTTCCCTTTTCCGCACCTTCCCACTGATGCTTGGCTTGTTCACAGTGTTGGTCTGTTTCCTCGTCCACCCAACACCATTGCCCTCAATATCAGCATTGGGGTCCTCCGCGAGTCCTGTACCTCCGTCAGCCCCATCCACCTCCATCGGCGAAGCGGCCTCTCCCTGGGCTGGTTGCATGGCTGAGAGCGGCCCTGGTGGGGCAGGACTGCCATTGAAGGAGGCTATGCTGCCCTGAACGGAAGGGTCCTGGGCCGAACACAAGATGCCACTGCCACCCGATTCTGGCTGCATGCCCGTGACGAGTGTGTTGAACCGAGCAGTGTCACCAGCCTTGAAATTTGTGACTGCCGAGCCGCCAACACCCGCGATGCCCATTGACACCAAGCCTCTGAATGCTGAGTCCTGGATGCCAATCACAAGTTAGCCAGCACGCAAAAGTGGGTCGCAAGCTGCAACTGAATGAGGGCAGATTGCCCCTCTCAGCATCCCCTGGACCTTGCTACTGACAGACAATCAGTCACAAACATGCACAACTGGCTAGCAGGTATGTGGAAACATACCCACCTGGCACAGGCACCGCAGGACTTGCACGGCCCACACAGATGTCACAACCTGTGTGTCCACAACAGGGGTGCCCCCAGCGATGGCAGAGGAGCTCCTGGCTGCAGGGGCTGGCACCCCAGGTGGTGGCAGCCGAAACTGGAGGCACAGCGAGTCCACCACAAGGGTCTGCCGCAGTGCATGCTGCACAAGCATCTGGTTGGACAGCACAGCGGGTGGGCCGCCAAGGACCACAACAGCATTGGCACCGCTTGCACTGCTGATGTCACACCGGATGGCGGTGCAGCCATTCGTCAGGTGGGAAGGGACCCGTTCACAGGGCGCCATGTGGACCACCTAGAGTCGCCACTTGGCAATCAGCACAACAGGAGGCACTGAGTGGAGACAATATATAAGTGCTGCAGTCTTGCTGGTGTAATTATAGGCCTTTTAGCAGTTCAATGCTGGGATTGGGGTGAACACACACCAAAGAGAAGATGATTTCAGCAAGGAGATCCACAAAACCAGTTGGACGCCTTGAGCAGAGCCCTGCATTCATTCATGTGATGACAATGGGGCCTCATTCACCACATTGTGCCAGAGCTAGGCTCCGTGCACTAGAGACACACTGCAAAGGATGGTGCAAAGATCATTCTTTGACATTTTGGTTCAGCTGTGTGTCTTCAACAAAGAATGCATGGGCCATGGATGCATTTTTCAAGAGATGGAGGGTGCGATGTGCTTTTGTTGGCAAGTGTGCATGGGCTAGGACTCATAACCAAGTTATACTGCTGCTTGTTCAGATGCACAGTTTGCATGGCAAGGATATGGTCCCAGCCTTGTGAAATTGAATTGGACAGATGAAGGCATGCAGCGTGTATACTATGCTATCTGTTGCGAGATCACCAGGCTCGGTTAGGCATATCAATGTCAGACTTGCCAGCCCACCAACTTAAAAAACAATGATCACAGTCAAGCATAGGCCTTTTGAGAGGTTGAAAAGAAGGCAGGGTGCACCACCACAATCCTGTCCCCCCACACGTTCGGGCCAGTACCGTTAAAAGCCTCATTTCCATCAGCAACAGCGCCCTGAGAGCTTCACCTAGGTAGCTCAGGCGCTTTGCATCGATGGCTGCAGTGCTCCCACACACCAAGAGCTTCAGTTCAGCCTTTGGTGCAAGCAGGCGTACGTCCTCCCATCCTGGCCAGTTACAGACATAAACAGCATGGGATTTCAGTCTTGCAAGAGCAATTTACAAGCTACTGGGTTGCCAATCGAGCTTGTGGCACAGCTGAGCAAGAGGTGCCAAGGATGACAACACTCCTCTGATGTTCAAAAGGCTGCCTTTCCGATTTCTTACTCAACTGTCAAGCTAGTTGAGGCTGAGACAAAGCTGGACACATGCAGGTGTTCCAGCATTCAGGTGTTCCTCAGCCAACAACCTTTCCTACAACTACACAGGTCCTTCCTGAGACAAGCCATATAAGCACCAGGGACAATTCCAAGTAAATGGCAATCTTTGTGCCACACTGTGCCACACGCCAGTGCAGCAAGTTACAAAAATTAGCCCCATGAACTGGCCACCTGTTCATCTTCCACAACACTGTCAACACACCCTGCCCACCCCTTCAGCACACCTTCCACATCTGGCACACCGTCTTCACAGAAGTCAACACCTGGAATGGCTGTGGTAGGCACACTGGTGCTGTCAGGAAGTCTCGGTTCCTCTTGTGAGATCATCTGGGGCAGCAGCCGAACCTGTGGCCTGTCACGAACGATCGACTCGCACAGCATCTGCACCACCCGGCTTGCCAGTGCGAAAGACTCGCATATGCTGGCAGAGGGGCTCCGAAGCATCGCCATGAACGTGTGGGAGAACTGGGCTGCTACCACTGATGATGTTGCAGCGTGGTCCGGCCAACAAATTAAATAGGGAATGTCATGGACTTGAAGCAAATCCACTGCACATCACCAGGAAGGTAGAGTGAGTCATGCCAGACAGGCTTTCAGATCATTTCTGAGCTATGCCATGGGCAGAAAAGCCTGGAAGTGCATAGCAAATCAGTGGGCTGTTGAATCCGTTTAGAAACAGCAGCAACTGGTTTGGGAGTGCTGATCGGGGGGCTGTGGTTGCATTGCTACAGCATTGATTGAAAGTGCACATTTCACAGTGAAGAAATTGGTGCAGGCAGCTGATGAGCCAACATGAACACACTTGCGCAAACTTGTCTTGGAACAGCACAAACATTGCAGCCTTGGAATGCTCCCAAATGATCAGCAAATGGCAACACTTGACACCAATCCAAGACATGCATCTCTCTGTTGCAGCATCTAATCCAATGACCACACATACAATAGACCAATGTCAGTCGCCAAAGCACGTGCATGAGCCACCTTGCAGGATTGGCTTCAGGCTAAATGTCAGGCACGAGACAACCATGCAAATGCATTGAGACTGAGTTTGACAGCAACCGCACATTGATTCTGAGAGATTGGGGCATCAATGTAGAGAGCAGTGACATCAGCTCCATCAAACAGACTGGAGAAGGATTTGGCTTCCGGTGGTCTGGTGTTGTCCTCTTTTGCATCTGCAGGAATCCAAGTGAAGAAATTCAAAAAGTAGGATGGCCACTTGGCGACAACATGCCCCTAATGGAACAACTTGTGCATCCTGTATGTAGCTCCTGGTGCAATGTGCAGATGACGTGCATGAGCAACAGTGCAGAGATACAAGTGGTTCAACGTTTTGAAGGTTACCGCACGAACAATAACAGAATGAGCTGGTGCCAAATCGAGGTACCTTTCTTAGTGGACGAGATCTTTGTCATAGACAACCTTGCGTCCAATCGTTGGCCAAAGATTCCCCGAGGTGCCAGATTTTGAAGTTTCATTGACTGAACCACATGCAAACAGGTGGAATGCAAGTGCTTCCCTTATTGCATACCTTGTTCGTTGCTTCCCTTAAAGCTCAGGGGTATCAGAGACGCCTTCAGCTGGTCACCATTTGGTTCTATCCCCCCAAACATGTACACTAACTGGGGCCTCCATTCCTTCAGCTTGCAGCCTAGTTCCTCCAAAGTTGGGTGTGACAGGATGCACACCTGACAGTCCACAAAGGCCACAGGGAACTTTTCAATTCCCCAGCAATTCAAGGGGTAGGCAGATTCGCAAATTGCCTGCATGCAGCATAGTGATAACGCTGTCCAGTGCGCTGATGCTCCACAGTGCTCTGGTTAACAACGGCACAACCGTGTTGTCTTGTCCCCATACCGATGCCAATTCCCAGGCCACCACCACTCCTAGGGCAATCTGCACCAGTTGAGAACGGTTGCAGCATTTGAGGCCACAGGGCACGCGTCTGCGGCGCACATGACCGTTATGCGAAATCCCTGGGGATATCATGTTGGACAACTGCGTGAGTGACCTTTGCCGTGCTTCTGGTCTGCAGTTGATGGACTGTTTGCCCGCTAACAACTCAAGAACGCGCCAAAGCACAGCCCCACGGCATGAAAAACGATCGCGCGCACGGGCCTTTGCCAATCCTCTGATCAGAAGTGGGGCTGCACCAGTGCAGGCCCGTGATTGCCGGTCAGCTCGACGAGCCCGGAACACGCCGGCTCCCCGTCCACCGCCGCAGCGACCATCACGTTCCCCGCCTCCCAGTCCCAGGTAGCGCATTCGAGCAGGTAGGATCTGACGCGAACGTATGATCAAGCGCCGCGTGCAGAAGTCGACCCACCCCCAATTATGCTCTCCAAACACGCATTCCCAAACTCTGGCCAGGCGCGACGACGTCAGCGCGCCCCTAGGCCACCTCCCCATCCTCCCCCCGCGCTCCTCCCCATTGATCCAGTCCCTTGGAAGAGAAATCGGCACGCCAGAATGCCCCTTCTCCGCCATCCGCCCTCTCCCCAGCCCCACCTCCACCTCCTCCGATTTCATGCCGGCCAGCTCGTCGACCGCGCGGCACGCCTCCTCCGCCGACGCCCCCCTGCCATCTGACGCCCCCGGGTGGCAGCGCGCCGCGAGCACACGCCATCGCGCCCGCCCCGCCCTCATCGCCTCGCCCCGCCGATCTCTCCCGGCGGGCACCTCTGGATCCAATCAGCGGCGCGACCGGTCAGTCCCGGCGGTCGCAGAGATTCTGGCAGCCCCTGCGCCAGGCCCAAGCGCAGCACGCGGCTGTTGGGTGGGAACGATCCAATGGCGCTCGTTGGCGTGCTTGCTTCCCAGGGTGTGGCACCAGGGAGGGCGGCGGGTGGGGTGCCTGTCACTGGGGTCGGCGGGGCTGCAGAAGGCGCAGCGTATGACCAAGGTGCGGGGCGCAGGTGGGGTGGTGTCGCGCCGTATGCTGTGCGCGCCTTTCCGCGGCCTGCCTTCCCCCGTGGGAAGAAGCCTGCTGGGAGCGATACAGGGGGGTCCAGGGCGCCCAGCCAGTGCTGGCAGCGTTGGAAGGAAGCTGGCAGCAAACCGGCTGGCGTACGGGTTTCCGACCGAGGCCCGGTGCTGGAAATCCGCCAGCGGGGTGAAGTACTGGTGAGGGCGACGCCTGGTCATCTTGGACCAACATTAAACAGGAACGGTGTATCTACCCTTCGAGTGGCATTTTCCGTGCCCCAAGGGAACGCCAAGGGATTGTTCGGGCATACGATTACTGGCTGCACCAAATCGGTGACTTTCTGCACTAAATCGGTGACTGCTTGCACCAACTCCCTCCAAAACTTACCTAACCTAAACACTAAACCTAAACCTGCCCTAGCCCTAACCCCAACCCTAAAACTCACCCTAAAACTAAACATAACCCTAAACTGAGGTTAGGACACAGTGTGCACGTGATTTGGTGCAGGCAGTCACCGATTCGGTGCAGGGAGTAATATTATTTCGGTTGTTCAGATCACAGATATTTGACCACTGAGCTGGATCGCCAATTGTCATCTGCAATCCGATGATTGAAACGAAGAGATGGCACATGAGAACGTTCCTTTTGGGGAAATACCGTTGACAATGTAGTTTAACACCTTTCCTCGATGTTTCACTTGTAAAATTCTAGTTCACATATTTGTGGTTCGGTGCCTCAAGACCGCCGTGCTGTGAAATTCAATGCGAAAAGTGAAAATGGAATTGAGAGTCGGATTCAAGGTATTAAAACCCGACACGACGACAACTGCAGCTACCGTGTCGGGCAAAGCGGCAGTTTAGGTGCTGGCTGACAGACGCCCTCATCGACTTAATCGAGCTGGCATGTGGACGGCCGCCCAACGATCAGTTTCCCATTGCTAAATTTACTGCCGTGAGATGGTGCTGTGGATCGGTGCTGTAGGGTGGCAAACTTGTTTCGTGAGTTTTGAGCTCAACCCGTGATTCTAGGGGCGAATCCTTGTGGGCAAAGAAAGCGTCGTACTCGAGTATCTATAGGGCGCTTGAGCCCGTCCGGATAAACGCCTTTGTTGACCCTAAGTTGCTGCGACTGCTTTGTGCCACTCCTGGATGGGTTCGGCAGTGTCTGTCCATGTATTGCTGTGCACCATTGCTGCGCACAATGGCGTCCCAAACTGGGATGGTTATGAAACTCTATCCGGGGTGCCGAACGCTGCACATGCGCAGGACCTATGGAAGCTACCTAGCACACTGAGACCACTCAGCCTCATAATGCCTTTGCGCTATTCTAAATAACTGCTTCGTATGGCCCAAAATGCCACTGTGTTATGCCAGAAATGGATGCGATTGGTTTACGTAAAGAGGCGAGCACGAAGTCGGGCACCAGGCAACAGCGCGAACCAGCCAATTGCCGAGCATTGTACATGATGAGTGACCAACCAGCGGAGGCATTAGGTGCATGGCAGCACTGTTTCTGTCACCGAATTTGCCCACATCGCTGGGGACAAATCTGCGTTTGAGCTGTTGTCGGGGCTTGCTCTGAGCTGGATAGATGTTGATGTTAGAGTTACGGCTCTGGCGCATTTGATGTACGGCTCTGGTAGGACTCATGCATAAGTCACACAGACGCTGAATTGCGCGGCAAGGCTGCATGGGGCTTTGCAGGGTGCAAACAATCATTCAGTCCAATGTTTGGGTACAAGGTTGGCAATCCGTTCCGCCTTCTGGCGCGGTGCCATTGCTGCTCGCTACAACTATGTGGTTGATGCGAGTCAACAACAGAAAGAGAAGGAATCCTCAGTTGGAACAGGCATTGTGGGCATGCCGGTGAGCAAAGAAGAGAAGCAAAGAAGCTTTTCTTTGTACATTTACACGCCCATTCCAACCTCAGCCTGTGACCAATATTAAACAATGCCTGTCTCGACTCCTGTCCTCTCAACGCCAACTGCAACTCACAATGTGTCCCAGCGCTCCACTGGGAATTTGCAAGTTGGTTCCTGGGTCTGGATCATCTTGCCCGCCTCGCACGCTTGACGTGTGCTGGCGCGGGGTTCTGCGGTATGTGCAGTGGACATGCTCTGCTACATGATACCTCCATTTACTCGTCTGTCAACTGGCACCTATGCCTACCCAGCAGCCACTGCTCTATAAGATTCTACCTCCGAACCATAGCCCACACCGGCACACAACCAATGTCGGAATACTTCCCTGTCGCTCAAGGAAACCAGTACCCACCCAACGTGGCCGAAATCGCTGAACGGTAACAAAGTGGTCAGTCGATAGACCAGTGATTAGCAGCCCCATCCTGGCTTGCCGCACAAACCAATATCTTTCAGTGGCACCAAACACCGCCTTCATTCACAGCTAGCCAACCACTCAAGCTATTGTCCTACATTTCCCAACTCAAAACCAAAAGGATATCGCCTATTCCGTAAGACAGCAACCTTAGCAATATGCGTTCTTGGAGTCCTCCTCCACACTCAAGTGGCCTTCTGTCCAGACCAGATTGTGCATCAGCCCCCATTGCCACATATCAGGCCAAGGCGCCAAATTCAAGGCAGTGGCTCCTGCATGTTCCCCAGTCGATTTAAATGCAGATAGGCATCAGTTCCATATCCGTCCATTGAAATCACTTGCAAGTCGCCTCCAAAATAACGCGCATACAGCCGGCTGAGCGGCAGGCCATAGCCGTAGCCAGCCAATACTGTTGGGCCATCGGAACCTTCGTCGTCCATGATGGGGAGAGGAGATGGAGCTGTGGAATAAAGGTAGGTCCAGATCCTCGGAACGCCGCTCCTGGGGATCCCACCTCCCTCGTCGGATACCTTAATGGTGACATCTTCTGCGCCCTCAGCAACGACCAGCCTGTAAAGGAAAAGGGTCCATAAGCCCTATTCAAAATCAAACAAGATTGTGTCGCAAGGAGTACTGCAAAGTTTACCCTTGCAGCAACTAGATGGTGCCAGGTTCGTCCGAACATACAGCTGAACATCAAAATTGGCTTTGTCTTTTTTCCGCAAAGGCAAGAATCGGCCAGTCATCTGCATGGTACTTGATGTTTTTGTGTGCACACCTCATTTGAGAAACATCAAAACGCACCCCCAATGCAAGTGATGCAAACATGGAAAACATATTCATTCAGACACAGTCCTACATATCATTAAGACCATTCCATGCATATTGGGGAGCAACAAGTTGCAGCACCAGAACAGTATCATAGACGGCAGTGCTGCTGGTGCAGCAAGCCGGCGCAGTATCACCTCACCTTATGGCAGGTGACTCTTGCTCATTAAAGCGATCGTTGACAGCCCTGAGCGAATTTTTAACCAGCTCAAAGACCATACTGTGTATATGGGATGGGACGTAGGCGAAAGTGATCCCGGAGTCACCGTATATCTCCACCTCAGGCGCTGTGCCATACTCTCTTTGACAGATGGAACGGGCATCATCGATGGCATCTTGAGACACCCTCCATGGGGAACACCTTGTGCAGATCATTCCGATGTGATTCTCCATAGGCTTGGCATGCAATTCGATATGCTGGCCTGTAAGATCACAACAATGTTGATCAATGAAGAGCAGCACGAAATCCATACCATATTGCCAGCCCTTGAGTGCAAGTGATATTTCAAAGGCACCGTAGAGGATGGTGCCTTGTTAGGCGCACAACTGGGCATGCCCCTTGTGGGGGCACAGAAATTGCTGGTGAGTATGGTGCTGAGCTTAGTTTGAGTTTGAGGTGTTGCTCACCTATGAGGAACCGTATTCCTATGCGGCTCAAGTAGAAACCATCCAAGAATTGGTGTATCTCTGGCAGCTCGTTCAAACCCACTTCGCTGGCTAGCTCGTGCCTCAGCTCGGCAACCCCTTTTGCCATCAGGGGCACCACATTGGCATGACGGGAGTAAATCAATTGCAGAAGCTCCGTGAACTTCTTTTCATCTTGAATGTTTTTGACTGCAGGGAATGCTCGAAGGTTAAGAAACGACTCCACATACCAGTCACGAACCTGCAGCAGCACATGCCATGCACTGAGCAGCTCTTGGAACGGACATCACATGTGTTGCAAATTCTGTCATTGCTCGCAGAATGCAATTTGGCCAAAATTGCACACAACATAATGGGGGCAGTACTTCTGACAGCAAGATGGCTCAACAAAGTGCCCAAAAACAGCAACTCAGAGAAAGCGTCTTTGCCATGTGACACAATCACGTGACTCGATCAAGCCCCCAGAGTGCACAATTCTGCCTACACTGAACTGTGAGAACTTCTGTGTGCAGGTATACAACTTTCATGACATAATTGCAAGTGGCTTGTGGTTTGATTGCTGTTGGTATGTGTGGCATCAACTCTGTTTTTTTGCCCTGGTGCATCTTATCTGGGTTGCCAAGGCGATGCCCTTGGAACTGCAGGACCATGAAGGTTAGTGACTGAGATGCTTACCAATCGCTTGACGCTCGCTCAGCATCAACTGGACTTAGCAGACAGCAATCAGCAACTGGCCACTTGAAGCCAAAACTAGAGCCAGGGCGACATGTTTTACAGCTGCTTTTTGATGTAAGCTCTTTGGCCACTACCATTCTGGATCTTTTCTCATGGTGACGGAGAGACTCGTAAGACAGTGTCATCAGTTCATTTTCAAACACTTCAAAGCCACATATTTTCAACTGCATGCTGTGAAGGCTAGTGTCAGCATCAAGAGCTTGGGGATCAATTACAAATGAGCTTCACTAGTGAATGCTCGTCAGAGTCACATGAAAGATATCAAGCAGTTCACCTGGCCGACTAGCAGAGACTGGGTAATTTGCTGAGCAACAGAACAACACACACTGGATGTGGTTGTTTAGGACTGTTGTAGGTGAGGCAATTTCGACTTTCAAGTCATACCTTGGAGGCTATATCTGTCTTAGCGCGGTCCAAAAGGTGATGTCGGTGTGGTGAGGGTATGTGACCAAGCAGATGCGTTCTAGAACAAAAAGGGAACACCTGACCAGTTCGGCTTTATGTGCTGAACCATGGCCCTCTTCTCATCCTCCCTGCAAGATTCCCCCTGTCCCAAACCTGTTGCAGGTGCTCTTCTGCAACTTGCCGACGCTGATCCGCATCATTGCCCCCATCCTCCCGCTACCTGACATGGCTGTCACGTCCGGCAGCTGCCGACGATATTAAGATTTCTGCGCCCATGGATCGATCCTGGGCCCGCATTAAACCGCCGCAGCCAACGCAAGACGTCGCCGGCCAAACCTGGACCCACCTTGAGCACGTGTGGTTTCGACGACAGCCCGTAGGGCAGGTTCTCCAACTCCGCGACCCTGTGCGCCAGGCGGACCGGCAGCTCCCGGTGCAGGAACTGGGCGGACAGTATCATCTGGTGCTGTATCGGGTTGGCCCCGAAGTCCAGCATGTACTTCAGGCTCACCCCCGTCTGCTTCTTGAGCGCGAACGCGAAGATTTCGTCCACCGTCTCCTGCGCGAAGCTGTCCGCGAGCCGGGACCGCATGGCGCCGCGCACCGACGTCACCGCCTGGCGCCCGGCGGTGCGTGCTAATCGGGACACCACCGACGCCGCCTGAGCCATGGCGCCGATCTACTCTAAACAACCAGATCCCACGGCCTCGCGCGAGGCGCACGTCCTCTCGAGGCCGATTGTCAGGCCGGGGAGAGCGGCTTGATCAGCAAAGGGGCTGTGGCTGGAGGCTCCATCGGCGCTACTCGGGAGCAGCAGGACGGGCAGAAAGCCGGAGGTGGGCTGCCTCCGGCGGGGGGAAGCGCTCAGGCCACGAAGAACGGTGGCGACCCGGCGTCGCGCGCTGCTGCGACCTGCGCAATCGACAGCGTCGATTGCACAGGGCTCAAGGTGCAAGGCCGGGTGCCCAAGGTCCGCGGGGCACAAAAGAAATGCATTGGGATGGGGCTGGCGAGGCCAAAAATGTCATTGTCCTAACCTTGTCGTGGCACAGCCAAAGCTTCGTCCTGAGTCGCTCTCTGCGCAGGGGGCACCACACCAGCCGCCATCCGGGCCTGCGTTTCCGCCCGAAGCCTCGGAAAGATGCGGCCGTATGTTGTGCAGGGCCACTCGCGGCCCGTCACTTGGGTTGTGTAAGTGGCACCCGACTCGTCGCTGTGGACTCTGGCAACGGAGATTCGTTCGGGGCTGACGGCGTGCTTCGCAACTGCTGCAGTTACAATCGGGAAGGCGATCTGCTGGTCACATGCGCTAGGGTGGGTGCCCGAACAAAAGGATTGATGCGGTGCCTGCTTGTGGAGGATGTGTGTCGAAGAACGGGGACCTCACGATTGCGGGTTGGATGTGCAGGACAAAGAGGTTTGCCTCTGGTTCCAAGAAGACGGCACCAGGTTGGGCAGTTTCCAAGGGCACGATGGGGTGGTGTACACCGCGGATATTGCAAGTGAGTTGCGGCTGCGAACGTGCGTTCATAGAACGAGCTGCATTGCTGCCCGTGGATGGAGAGGATCTTGCAAATTGTTAATGTACTGTAAATCTCATGTATCGTTTTGAACACATCCTATGACAGATCCGAAGTCTTGCAACCTAAAGGCCCATATCCTTTGTGCTTCTGGTTCCAATCTGCGTGCAGAGTCGTTGATTAGCTGCTGGACGGGCGCCACATCACAATTGGCAAACAAAGCAATTGATGGAGTTTGGTTCACCATTGTTCTTTTCCACGCCCGCGTATTTGCTTCTGAGGTGCTATTTAGTTGCATTGTGCAGGTGATTCTGAGAGGCTTCTGACAGCTTCAGGCGATGGGACTACTCGTTTGTGGCAGATGGAGACTGGCAAAGAACTATTTGAGTGGCATTCAAGCTCACGGGAACCATGCAGAGCTGTGAGTTTTGCCGTTGGCGAGCGCCTGGCTGCATTCTCAACAGATCCCTTTGGAAACAACCCACCTGGGTTTCACATTGTTCGTGTTGAGGAAGACATGCTTGACCAAACCGAGGAAAAATTGGTGTCTGAGATCATTCAGACGAGGATCTACCGGCTTGGCTGGACAGATCAGAATCGGGTCATTGTCACTGCACAAGAGGATGGGTTTGTGAGGAGGTGGGACGTGGAGGTGAGAAAAGCTGTGCTGTGCCAGAACAAAGGGTTGGCGTTGTGGCAATGTGGGTTTTATTGCTCTGCCTGAAATACAGTTCTGCCTTGCAAGTTTTCAATGATTGTTGGCGGAAAACAGCTGAAAAGACATCTTGCACCTTGCAGTCGACGATGCCGTTTTGTTTGCTGTTCATTGCTTTGGCAATCCTTCGCATTCAGATGGGTCACATATGTCATGCTTGATAGTTGCCCAACAGATGCCCAGACATTGCTCATTTAGTTTCAATATATGAGTGCGAAATTTGACTGCTGATGAAAATGCTTTAAGCTGCAATGTTTGAACGCACTGCATATTGCCACATGCAAGTATGGCCACTGTAGGATGAACACCATGGCACCTTTCCTACTGTGTGTGGGAGACCATGTTGCAGTGCTGCACTTTTATTGCAGTGCCTAAAACTTGGCTCTACTTGCTCTGCCTCAGGCCCAAAGAGCAGCCCCCGCTTCCGCACATGTGACATTTCACAAATGCATTCTGACAGTATTTGGTCATGCTTAGTTTATGCTGTGCCTTGTGTTTCCAGACAGGGAAGATCATCTTTGAGAATCGCATTCATGCAGAGCAAATCAATGACTTGAGGTTCTCTGGAGATGGCACTCACTTCATCACAGGATCAAGTGACAAGACTGCCAAGCTGGTGGACACCCGGACACTTGAGGTGTTGAAGACATATAAATCTGGGACGCCCGTCAATGCAGTGGATATGTCACCACTGATGGACCATGTAAGTCGATGCTGCCAATGGTTAAGTCCAACAGAGGCTTTAAGGATGTGCTGTCACATTTGTGTCGATACAATGGATTCCGTTTGTTGTAGACACAAGACAAACAACACTCATGCACTTGCAAGGAGATGGCAAGTCCAACAACATGCAACCAGTGCTGGTGTAGCTCTGGATGATCGTAATTCGGGAGTACGCTGACTGTATATAACGACAGAGAAGGCAAGGGTACGCCCAAAGAGCCTGAAAGGGGGGAAAAATGAGATCAAAACCGTGCCACGAGTAAATAGGAGGAAATGGCTGGTGCAAGCACTATCTAAAGGTACAAAGGGGGCTGGGAGATCGGCGCGCAGGTATGCAGTCGAGATGTGGGCACCTGAGGATACTGTCCCTTATGAGCATTTGAAGTGTCTGTTTGAACATAAGCTAATCTGAAAACATAGAAGGGAAAGCATATGTGAGGTTAATGAAGGAGAAGTCTTGTGGGGTAGCTGCTGTTCCAGCATCAGCTGACTTCCCTCAACTGTGTTGGAGTTTGCACGATTCCCAAGACCCAATCAAAAGGTGGAGCATGTTGCATGTAATCCTTAGGAAGCAAGGGTTTTTGGTCAGCAACTCACCAAAAATTGATCAGTCAAAGCGCCTGTGTCAGAGAGATGTGAGTTGCTTGACATCATCGGTCTATGCATTGTGTGACTTTGTCAACATCTTCAGTGTGTTGCCTTCATGGCAGCTGTAAACAAGCAAGCTCTGCAGCTGACCAACTCGTCCAGTGAAGAGTTCTTACACTGACGAGCCCTCAATGCCCCCTGACCGTTGCAGATGAGGCAAGTTATGATAATGCTAGAACCTCATTGCCAGGATCGTGATTGCTAAATGGTGCTTTCGGAATTCCAAACCCACAGTTTCTGCCCATCTGAGCACATCTGTTGTGAGGTTTTACTTTAGAATGTGGGGAATTTATTGAGTGCTGTCGCATGGCTGCAGAATATGTGTCTATCGCAACATAAACGCTGCCTATGGACCACCCACACCTCTTTGAACATGGCACCCTATGTCACAGCAGGAACACAAGCCAGCGCGTTGTTGGCGATGTTTCCTCCACAGCCAGTCTTGCTTGGCATCAATGTGCAGTTGCAGCTCTGGCTTCACCCATGGCTGCCTCACTTGTCAGAAGTATGCCAACAACTTGACTGGACCAGGCAAGAACTGAATGTGCAATTTTTTCCCATCGATAAATATACTTGTTCGGTTGTTTGATGGCTGGATTTGTGGAGTTAGATTGGTGGTTTATTGGTACCGGGCTGAAGTCCAAGTGCTGCTCAGGTCGTCTTGGGAGGCGGGCAAGATGCAGCTGATGTGACAACAACAGCTGCCCAAGCGGGCAACTTCTCTGCAAAGTTTTATCACAAGGTGCGTCTGGATGGGTTGCTCTTGTACGACGGATCGAATTGAACCCGGGCTATTTGCACAAGCCCTGTCTAGCACAAACCCTAATAAGCGGTCGCAGGCCACCAGTGCTGTCGTGTGCGTTGCTGCTTTTTTGTTGGCCATTCTCTGTTGCCGCTGACCAGTATTCCCTTGATTGTGCGTCAGCTTTACGAGGAGGAGTTTGGCACCGTTAGGGGACATTTTGGGCCCCTCAACTCCGTGGCTTTCCATCCGTCTGGCCGAGGGTGAGTGCAGCACAGTATTTGCAGGTTCCTGGCGCGCAGCTCCACTCGAGAGCAAAAGTGGCAGCATGCCAAGACACCTTGTTACACCTCCTGCCAGCGGTCGTGGTTCGCTTTGCTGAAATATGTCCGCCATCCTGTACTTGATCTCTATGATTCAGAAGCGCACGCCATTGAGTGAGAATGGTACTGGGCTGTACCGCCCGCCGCATTTTTATTGTCCATTCTGTGCTGACGGTGTGCAATGGTTTCATGCGCACGAGGCTGTTGTGCCGCATGTTGCGCAGCACCGAGAGCAGCCGAACTTGATGGTTGTCGCTCGGCAGCGTGCTCACTTGCTCTTGCTGCAGGTTCACGACGGGAGGAGAGGATGGTTTCGTGAGGATACACCACTTTGATGACGACTACTTCACCACAAAATTCTTCTAATTTGGACCCGATGGAACAACATTTAATGCCCAGCTGATTCATCTACCCCGGCCTCCTCTGCCTCCCGCTGATGAAAGCAGGCAGGGTCGAGGGGTGGCGACCCCTGAACGGGGACCATAGGATCGAGCCCACGGAAACGGCTTGCAGCCGAGCAAAGGGACAACAGAAGTTCTGTCCCTTATATCCAATCCGTTCATCAAGATTCCAAATGCATTTCCTAATGTTTCATCACCTCTTTATACGTTCACCTGTTAATAGTTCTCAGTCAGCTCTCGTTATAACACCGCTATCATTGAATGGGTCCACGTTACAACCAACAATGTGATGGTCGACGGGGTTGCATGTGTGCTGCCAATCCCCCGTACTCCCTACCACCACCCTCCACACCCAATTCCCAACATCGCCTATAAGGTGCAAGGGCAGTGTTTTGTCCACTCTTGCCCATTTCTGTACCTCCAAATGTCAGACGCTGCCTGTGATCGCCAATCGGTAATGTCGTGCCCTTGGAGAATGAAGGAGTACATGTATAACGATGCAGGTATTCCCAAACGATTTAGGGCATCCGATACATGACAAATTACATGCAAGGGCGCGTGGCCCCTCGAAAGCACAGAACCTCCATAACCCCACAAGTCCCCGTGCTAACAATCACTGCCGCAGCGCCTGAGTTGCAAACAGTCTCGTCCTGTCCGTTTGACTTGGATGAATAACCACTGGTGATCTGGAAGACCCCAGACGCCAAGGCGACGGACCTCATGCAAGGGGCCGCCGATGATTCAGAACTTCTTTTGCATAATGCCCAGCTTCACCATGCCGTTCACCTGATCCTCCAGCGTCTCGCTGGGATCAATGAACTCCATCCCCAGCTCTCGCTTGGCCTTCGAGTTGTCGAAGAGTGGCGTCTTGTTGATTTGCGACCTGGCGATGTCTCTTCCCATCCCCAGCAGCGGCGCCAGGGCGACCACGAGTGCTTTAGGAGCCTTGTACCTTGGCAGCCAACAAGCCTTGGGGAACTTTTCCCGAAGCAGCGCGGCGATCTCCAGAAGGTGGAGAGACCGAGAGCAAAGGATGTACCTCCCTGAAGCATCATCCTTCGCCATGGCGCGACAGTGCGCGGCTGCGACGTCTCTCACGTCGACAACACCAAGCCCAATCGCTGGAGCCGCCGGCCACATGCCCCCTGTCATGAGGGTCTTGACCATGCTCACAGACACGCCGTCCGTTCGACTGGAGGTCGGAGGGCCAAATATCTGCGAGGGGTTCATTGCGCACATGGTCCACCTAGACTGCTTCTTGCACATCTCCCAAGCTTTCTCCTCTGCTACGCGCTTGCTGTAGCTGTATGGCAGGTGCGTCTCGGTGGCAGCCTCATCCCAATCTTCCTCACTGGCGATATAGACAATTGGCAAGTTAAATGGCGTTTCCTTGAGGAAAACTCTCAACCCAATAGGGAAGTTGAATCAACATGGAGGGCAGTATTCATGCCGCGGATGGGGCGCGTACAAGTGAGCGTGCACCTCTGGACAAACGTGGTCAAATCCGGTCAGATGGATATCATTAGTGCTCGCGATTTGCGTTTCGCCAATCAACAAACGATTACTAAATATTGGTGTTTTCTGGGGCATTTTGCTCCCAAAAATATTGTGGGCAAACGCATCACGCTTCGAACAGTGTGCCCAACAAAAGAACCCTCAGTTTGGGCAAAGAGCATGCAGCATTCCTTTCTATCACCTTAAAGTCGAGCTGCGCAACGCACCTGAAGATGTGGCCCTCACCCTTCTCGTCCGCCTCACCGTAGATGGCTGCGCATGAGGACGTCAGCACCACGCGCGTCACGCTCTCACACCTGGTGACCGATTCCAGGACGTTCTCGGTTCCCCGCACAGCGGGCTCGATCAGCATCTCCCTCTCCCTCCCCTGCGTCCGCTCCACGACGTACGGCGACGCGGTGTGCATCACACATTGGCAGCCGCGCACCGCCGCGTCGAACGATCCCGCGGTCAGCAGGTCTGCCTTGAACAGTTTCAGCCTAAGCACAAAAAATGCCAAGCTGCCATCGCCTCAACCGTACCATGCAACGCTCGCTTGTGGCCCTATCTGAAAATACACATTGCTCGTGCAACCATTGTCGCTCGAGTGGTGCACATGCACAAACTCTTGCTGCAGTGTGTGCCAAATTGGAAGTTTTCTATAGCCGTTGCTAATTGCCAGAATTGCATCGCACTTGCTGAAAAAGGGAAAATGACAAAAAAGGCGGTCCTCTGTGGGATATCTTGATAAAAGGGGGTCATCTTTGACAAAAGGGTGTCTTAGCGGGGGTACAAATGACAAAGGGGGTCCTCTGAGTGGCACCACGTACACTAGACACGTTGGCAGACCGGCGCCATACTGGTGCCAGTCTGCAACCCGGTCCTACTAGGGGCGACCCAACAGAGGACCCCCTTTGGTCAATTTCCCTCTTGGGGGTGTTGTGGGGTCTTTGCGATGCCATTTTGACGAACATTCCTGCCCTTGGAGCATCATTTAAATGCAATTGGTCTCCATGATATACATGAATCATTACGATCAATGACTTTATTGCCGCTTCAAAAGCCATCAAAAAACGACATTTGCTGCTGTATCTGAAGAGTGACCTGTCAGCCTAAACACTTCATTCTTTCCAAATAGTTAGCTTCTCTGGACGTTTAACTCATCCTGGGCATTCCAAAAACATGCATGCTCACGCGCATGACACAAAGTGGTGAGTGATGCCTGAGTTTCTGAGAATGTGCTCAAGAAATAAAGTTGACTTGCATTGAATATGTATGCATGTTATTTTGTGGTCACAAAACAGTATTTTTGTCTTTTTGGTGAAGTTCTTGCCGTACATGATGATTGACATGCAATGATCGCTCAGTACATGGGTCAGGATGTTGTAGAATTGTTTGAGAACGATCGTGATTTGTGCTTGATGGGCTGTGTTCGATGTGGAAGGTCGTTAGTGACTGTCGTAATGCAATGAGGTGTATGCAGTGTACTTTTTTGGCAAGATCGGAATTGGAAGGATGTACAAGTCCGAAAATGGCGGCATGGCCAATGTCGATTGTGCTGCCAATGAGTTCACTTTACAAAGAGTTTTTACAAAATCAAAGCACAAGAAGTGTCCTGCACATGCTAAAGCTTGTGTGTTGCAGACTTCAGCCTTCAGAAAGCGTACAGAGAAACATACCCCGCAACAACCCCAAGAGGGGAATTGACTAAAGGGGGGCCTCTACTAAGGTGCAAATGACAGAAGGGGTCCTCTGTGGGGTGGCCCCTAGTAGAACCGGGATGCAGACCAGCGCTAGTATGCTGCCAGTCTGCCAACGCGTCTAATGTACAAGGGGGGCGGGCAGAGGGCCCCTTTTTGTCAAGATATCTTACAGAGGACCCCCTTTTGTCAATTCCCCTGAAAAAACTGCCAGACCCTCAACAGTCGACACGTCGATCCCCCCCGGATTACGCAGGAGCTCCTTTTTGGTCAGCATTCCCGTGTACTTTTTGCACTGCGATGGCCAAATTGCTAACGGCTGATAACTTCCAAAAGCCTGGCACTCTAAGCCCCACCTCCGCACAAACGCATTCTTTTGAGCGAGTGCCAAAAAGGTGCACTGCAAGGCGCCTGCCCCAAGGATGCCAAGACACCCAGCTGTGAAAGGTCGCGGCTATCGAGCCTTTTGGTCAATAACCAAATTTTGACCTTACCCCACCCCGCTCACTCAAACCCCAACCCACTCGCTTCCAATCAGCGGGCAAGCGCCAAGAGTCCTTGAAGTGAGAAATCACGGCGGTCGGCCGGTTGGGCCTGTCACCGCCGATTCAATTGCTCAAATTTGGACACCATCCCACGCCCTCCCCTCCCCTATCCCCTAAACGCCACTCGTTTCCAGTCCACGGCCAGAAAGGTGCTACGAGGCACTCCAAGGCGGCCGCCCAGCCTGCCTGAATTGAAAGATCGCGGCGATCGACCAGTCGGGCCGATCGCCAGGAACAGAACTTCAAATTAAAGCATGCCCCAAACCCTTCCATCCCAACCCAACCTCCCTCCAAAACGCGACTCGAGCCAAGGCCACAGGCGATGGCAATCGCCACCGCCGGCCGCTCGTCGCTACGCAGCTTGGTTCACGCTACCCACCGCACCACCCCCCTTTCCAGTTGGGAGGGCTGTCTAGTGCACATTTCCTGCAAGTGAAACCGATGGGCGCAGGAAATGTGCACTAGACATATGTGGAGTTGGTTGTCAAAGGCACGCACACCGCAATTCGAGGGTCTCCTGCACTCTCTGTAACGCTGGCGCCGCAACGAAGGTGTCCGTAACGCGAAAAAGCGACACGCGCACTCGACGTCTGGCACCAGAGCTACTAGTATCCCGGTTGGCCCGGCCCCCTTAGTCATGCGCAACCCCAGCCCACCAGGCATTGCCCCGGTGGAGGAAACACAGGGGAAGCCGGGGGGGAGGGGCGCCACGCACGCCGCGCCGCCCCGGGAGCCGCGCCCTGGTGAAGGAAGCCCGGGGATGGGCGTGAGTGGGCGGTCGGCGCCCATTCTACGCGCTGCACGAGCGCCGCGCAAGGCGCAAGGAAGCCCAGGGATGGGCGGTGAGTGGCCGGTCGGCGCCCCGCGCAGCGCCTGCACCATGAGTGGCGCAAGGAAGCCCGGGGATGGGCGGCGTGTGCGCGGCCGGCGGCCGGCGGTAGGCGGTCCGTCAAAATCGCATTTTTGCCGTATAAAGCCTCGCTCGCTCGCAACAAATGGATGCTCAGCAACGGATTGCCCTCTTCCCCACCTCCCCGCCCCGCCCCCGCCCCCGCGCCTCCCGTAACCCACGCTCATGGGGTGGCAGACGCTCCAAGCAACACTCTCGCGCAAGTGCTGACATTGCCAACTTGGCGGGCTTTGCGTACGTCGCACATTCGCCTGCACGCGGATTTCCCACTCAACACGTTGCTCCAACCGCGCCATTGATCTGCGAGCCCTCAGCGACGGACAGATGCTCACCGTTCTCCAGCGCCGGGCAGCGCCTTCAGCCCTGCCACCAACGCCTCGTTGTCGGGGCTTCGGCACGTGCCGTGGACGGTGTGCCCCGACGCCAGCAGGCGCTGCACTACCAAGCCGGCGAGGTAGCCCGTCGCGCCCGTAACACACACCGTGCGCGGAGCACAGCTCTTTTCAGCATCGGAGAGGGGTACCCTCAGATCGGTAGCCATGGTGGCGTGCTGGTATGTCAAGGTTTGTTGTGCGCAGCGCTGCCGAGAGGGCGCTGAGAGAGGGGAACTGGGAGAGCCTTGCCAGAGATACGTACGCTTGTATATGCGCCTGTGCCCGGCCGTGTGGCCTGACTTCATGTTGGTCTGACGGGTCCGCACACGAGTCGAATGCAGCCGTGCGGGGGGTGAGTCAGTGCCAGTTTCACGCGTCTACGCAGGTGTGAAGGCCTGAAGTCGCACTGCTCACAGCAGCGAAAATTCCGGTTCACTCTGCCGGGCAGCAGTCTTGCGGATTGCCAGGCCGATCAAAGAGGGCCACGCCAAGATCATCATTCTACCGCAATACGCTTGCCAGCCAATTGGCTGCACGCATCATGTTGTGACGCCCATCTGATCAGAAAATTGAGAATTTGTTCTTGAAAGACACAATGATACCGCCCCACACTCCTCTAACTGCGAGCCAAAGGGTGCAGATGCAAAGAACTAGAAGCGCTTGGCATTTTTCAGACTGTTGCCAGCATTTTATCTGTGAGTGTGACGGATATTCCTTGCAAAAGGAGAAATACGCTGATCAATGGGCACCCACCCACCCCCCCTCGCAAATAATGTTGCTGCTGTTTGCTGTTGTCCACAACACACTGCAAATTTAACGCTGATTCTGGGACCTCCACTGGAAGGACCCTGGCCACAGCTGGAAGACCTTTGATCGGGAAGAATTACTTTTGCATGCCTGCATACCCTTGACAGATGGTGCAAATTTGCGGACTCCAGGCCTCCATAGGCTTCAATTCCATTTCTTCAAGGCACGTTTCAAGTGGACACCGTTGCATCACGCTGCTGTCTGCACAGCTGAGTTGGAGAGCCAAGCAGATTGTGTGCACTCTCACACGGCCACTACATTTCCAGTGGAAACTGTGTAATCGCTTTGGTATAAGAGCGGGGTAGAAGTTCCAGCCACATTTCAAAACAGGCCACATCAGGGTATATCAGTACGCAATTGTTGCCACACTGCCAAATCATCTGCCAGGTGCATTTGCTGCCAGGCATTCACAGCTACCCTGTTGCCCTGGCTGTCCACATGGCCCACCACGTACTTGTATTTGTCAAGAGTATTTGTCAAGAGGAAAATTCAGATGTCACTTGCAAGGTGTTAAATATGTTATTCGAAGCTCACAATAACTGTGTACAACTATGCAATACGACTAATGTACAAAATCTCTACAGCACCTCACAGTGGATCAGAGGTGTCTAAGCACGATGTTCGATTTGTTGAAGCATTCCCAAACACCCATACCGGCCAGCACCACTAAGCCATCTGGGCATACATCTGGTCAATTTGGCTCTTATATTTGTTTCTCAGCTGCACCCGCCTCGGCTTGAAAGTCGCTGTCAACAACCCATTGGCTGTCGAGAACCGCTCATGATCCAAATATACCCTTTGCACAATCTCACTATCAGCCAGCCCTTCCAACTTGGCCCTTGCCTGGAGTTGCTGCAGCACGTACGACTTGGCACCTGGTGCTGCACAGAGTCGTGGAAAACGACCCACAACCTTGGCCGTCTTTGCCCAGGCTTCGATACCTTCTGGGTGGGGTACTACCACAGCCACCAGCACCTGCCTGGGAGCCACACAATAGATCCAAATTTGATCCACAATGGAGCAGTTCCGGTATGCCGCTTCGATTTTCTCCAACGAGAGGAAGTCGCCATCGCTGTTGAGTGTAAAGTTGTGCCTTCGATCCATTATTCTGATGTACCCATCCTCCAGCTGGGCGATGTCCCCTGTGTGAAGCCATCCGTCCTTGTCGACGTTGCTGGCGTCAGGAGCCTTGTAATAACCTGCAGAAGGGGTACAGGTCGGATACAAACCTCTTCATTCTAATTCAAACATGCATGTACCTCACCCAGCGTATTAAGACCCCTGATGGTCTCGCATGCTGTTGTTGCAAGCACAAAATGGCAGCTGCGACTTGCCTGGCGCTGCAAACCTTTATCTAATCTATGAGCAGAGCATCCATGGGAATTTGATTGATGGACAGAAACCATCTTTCAGCATTCTGGCCTGGTGACATGCCGATTATCACAAGTTGATCAAGATTCACTCATGTGTGCAATAATCTTGCAGTCTCCACCACGAAATTGCCGCAAGTCGGCTGCTGATGGACCAATCTTTGTGTCTCTGTGAACATTGCAGCAGTGCCTTGACAGGATAAGAGGTAGCCGTTGCCGCAGCAGCCCATCCTCAATTCTGGCAATTTCACAAGCTCAGAGCAGCGAAGTCACCCACCTGAAAACAGCTGAGGGCTCTTGATGAGGAGCTCGCCACAGGGGGGGTCCGCCAGTGCATCGTAGCCCAGCTCCGGCACCGACTCCAACCTAAAAGTTGTTGAGCGCAATGGGACGCCCACAGTGCCAAACATCTCGAACCTGTGCGGCATGGATGCAAACACCCCCCCGCAAGTCTCGGTGAGGCCATAGCCCTGCACAATCGGGCAGCATACACCCACCCGCAGGAATTCCTCCGAGCTGGAGGACAGGGGTGCCCCACCAGAGAGGACTAGCTTTGTCCTGCCCCCCAGCATCTTTCTGCATGCCTTCCTGCACATCGGCACATGGTTGTGTGCACAGTGAGCAGCATAGAGAATCACCACTGGATTCGGTGAAAATGACACCACGTCTTTGCCTTGCCAAGCAATGTCTCATTGCTGGCAGATGAATGATGGAGCCAAGGCAAACTGGGATGACGCCGATGATGGATACTTATCAGGGCAGGTTAGAAAACGTTGGGAAAACTGCAAAATTTTTTGATAAACAATGTACAACTTGAATGCAGAAATGGCCCGTATCACATTGCCCTTTCACTCTTTCACAGTGTCTTCAGCATTCCTGGCTGTTTTCCTTCGCCAAACGCCTGGCACAGGCATTCTACTCCGCGACCTGCGCAGTACCTGAACAGCAGCAGGTTGAGGGTGCCCACGACGGCCTTCCCAAAGACGCCCCTGCGCTGCCTCCTCAGCAGCGCCAGCTTCCAGCGGTATCCCACGCCGAAGGCCGACCGCCTTGGGAAGTCCAGGTGCGCCACCCGGGACTTGAGCCTGGCTACCATCCTGTCGAAGATGTGGGGGACGCCTAGGAACATGGTGGGCCTCAAGGCCTGCACATCCTCCAGCAGTCCGCCGGGGTCGCCTCGCCAGTACCCAATCGCCCCGCCCACGAACACGAAAAACAGCTCCGTCTCCAACTCCAGGATGTGCGCCAGCGGCAGGTACGACAGGATGGAGTCCCCGGGGCCCATGTCGGTGCCCGCCAGTCGGCAGATGTCCTCGATCCCGGCCATGGTGCTCATGACGGCCCGATGAGTCAACATGACGCCCTTCTGGGCCCCCGTAGTCCCGCTGGTGTACATTACGGCCAGCACGTCATCGGGGCTGGGGCGCGGCCCTAGGCTTGGCCCGGGGGCATCAGCCCCGCCCCGACACAGGGCCTCCAACGAGACGACCTCCACGCCGGCCGAGGTGGCCTCTGAGACGCCCGGCGGCAGAGGGTAGGGCGCCCCGGCGGGCGCGGACCAATGCACGATCGTCCGAACAGATTTCACGCGCGACGCCAGGGACAGGGCGCGCGCCAGGTGCCCCGACGACACCACCATGGCGCCCGCCTCGCAATGTCGCAGCACGTACTCGGCCTGCCGAGCCCCTAGAGAGTCGTTGATGGGCACCACCACGCGCCCGGCCCGCGCGCACGCCAGAAAGGCCACCATCCACTCTGGGGAGTTCTGCCCGTAGATGGCCACCGGGAGGCCTGAACCCTGAATGCCATTCAAGGCCCGGGCAAAGGCGGACACCCGGAGGGAGACTTCGGAGTACGTGGAGAAGGCGTAGCCGCCGGGGGCGCTGGCGGGGCCGGCGCGCAAGCCCAGCATGGGCTGGCCGCCGCAGGCCGCCACGCTGCGATCGAACATCTCGTCGATCGTGGCCGCCAGGGAGGACTCTGGGGCGCCATCCTCGACGGAGGGCCTGTAGGCGGGGCTGGCGGAGGGCCGGTCGCTCTGAGCTTGTCTCGGGGGCTCCGCCTGGACGAGCGGGCGCATCAGGGAGGCGGGGGGGGGGGGGGGGGGAGGAGGCGTGGGGAAGTTGGGCCCGGGAGAGGGGGCCTAAATGTGGCGACAGAGTGGCGCAATGTATGTGGGTGGCAGAGCGTTCGCTGGGCGTGTCAGGGGGCTGGCTGAGGGGAGCATCCACGAGATTCGGGTCAAAGGGGTGAGCAACCACTACGCACTGGGGGGGTACGGGGGCGTAAGGCGAAGTTTACATAACGCACGTGGGTGCTGGACACACGCGCGCTTCCTCCCACCCGTCTGCGGGCACGATGTCACGTTGCCACCCTCTGCCGTACCCGCTGCATAAAAACAGGGCAATTTGCGCTCGCGGAAACTTCGATTATTTTTTGTTCGGGTTGCCAATTAATGGGTGATACTACTGCCTAGCCATTTTGTTTAATGGCTGAGTCAGCTGGCAGGAATGAATAAAACCAACCTATGACTAAATAGTATTGTTTGCATATTTCTCCCTATTAGGATAATGGAAATGCTACTAGACAGGTCTCAAACACAACTCACTTGGGGTGCGTTTCCCAGCCAATAATAACAAAAAGCTTCGAGTACTAATGATCTTCAGACTACTATGAACACAAGCAACGATTCACAAACATACATGGATGATCAAAACATGCAATTGTTCACATTGAGTGGAGTTACTGGCCAACTCCCTCACCAACAGACCATGCACAACTGAAATAACACTTGAAACAAAGTACCGATTAAGAATCACAAATTCACAAGACAGACGGCTACAGATCTCAACCAGATCTGCTCACCATCCTAGCCACAAACAAGAAGGCACAAATAGCACTGCCAGTGTGGTGCACACAACTCTCAACGCCCAGGCAACTCACAAACACACTCACACAAACAACAAATCATGTCACACCCAAGGGGGGCTGTCACGCACCCCCCCCCCCCCAGAGGTGGGCCCGGCCAAATGGGGTAGAAATAGGAATGGGGACAGTGTTCCCGTTCCCGTCCCAGTCCATCCCATTCCGTTCCAGTCCATTCCTGGGCCATTCCCCAGGAACAGATTTGGGCCGGATCCGCATCAGGCAGGAATGGTGTTGGAACGGATTTGTTCCTATTTGCTACGTGAAGGTTGTTGGTGTGGGGCTCCTGCTGATGCGGGTCCTAGCGAGGACCACGCACGGGCTGCGTGTGAGAGAGTGCAAAACCCAACGAGAGACATTACGGAGTGTGCTCCGTGCACACTTAACATGTCAATCAGCGTACAATCAAGTATAATGAAATATGTAATGTACAAATGATAATGTACAGCTATTTTAATGTACTACCAGCCAATGTGAGTGGTGCCACCGGCATCAATTCTCCCCCCAGGGCAAAGTGTTTGCCCGCAAACACAAGCACGATACTACGAAAATCAAAGACGAAACGACAGATGCCAGCATACCAACAATTGCCATCAAGCAAGATATTCAGAGTGTCCCATAGCACTCCAAGTGTCCCATATCCTGCTCAAAAACAACTGCACCAAACTCCATGCAGGCCCATCACTAACGTCTCATTGATTTCCTTCGACTTCGAGTGTTCTTCTGTGCTACTGCTTGCTGACGCTGCAAGTACTCTGAAAGGAGATCGCTGCAATGAGTAAGGTTGGACTCAGGCTCCCACGTAGCCTCATGCAGTGGGCAGTCTTTCCAGGCCACAAGGTAACGCTTCCTCGCTCCTGTACCCTTGTGCTTGATGATAGCCTCAACCTCGTACTCAAGGTGCCCCTCTATCTCCAGTGGAGGGGGTGAATCGACATTCCGCTGAAACTCTGAACTCCTCTCGAAAAGTTTCAGCTTCTCCACATGGAATGTGCGATGCACATGCCATGTGGCTGGTAAATCAACAGTGTACACCACCGGACTGATCACCTTCACCATTTTGAACGGTCCTACAAATCGACATCGAATCTTGGGTGGAATCTGAGTGAAAGCCTATTCGGGCAAGAAGGATGTTCTGATGGCTACTTCATCACCCACTTTGAACTGTACATCCCTTTGTCGTTTGTTGACTGTCTCGATCACCTGATCCTGAGCATGCTTGTAACTGGCACTAGCATCACTGAGAGTTGTATGCATCCACTTCAACATAGTCTGAACTGACTCAATGTTCGTTGCCTGCTGACGTGAGGTAAACAAACTCGCAGGTACCTCAGGATTCTGACCGTACAGAAGGTAGAATGGATTGTATCCTATTGCAAGATTCATGTTGTTGTTTGCAGCAAATTCTGCTAATGGAAGCTGATCAACCCAATGCTCTGGATGTGCCTCAATGTATGGGCGAAGAAAATTCTCCATTGTTCATATTGAAACTTCGCTCTGTCCATCAGTTTCTGGATGAAATGCTGTGGACATATTGAGGCGCGTCTCAAGCAAACGAAACAACTCCTACCAGAAATTGCTCAAGAATCTTGGGTCACGATCAAAGATAATAATTCTTGGCACTCTAAACTGCCTGAAGATGTGCTGCAAGAACAATTCAGCATAACTTTCTGTTGTCAATTCCTTCCGGCACGGAATAAATTTCACAAACTTGGTCAGTCTGTCAACAAACACAGCCACTGCATAGTAGCCCTTGGTGTTACGCGCACCGGCCTGATGTGGGGGACGCCCTATTAATGGCCCTTGGTGTGGGGGACGCCCTGCCCAAGATAACTATCCTCAACCCATAGTAACCATTCTAGGTATTAGGATACGGGAGTAGGAGGGGTGGTCCCGCCTAAGTCCCTGTAAGGTAGAGGTGGCCACCCGGATCCGTTAATAGCGGACAGAGGTTAATTTCCGTTAATTTTCCGTTAATTAACGAAAAATAACGAAAAAAGGCAAAAATTAACTAAAAATTAACGGATTTTTGGATTTTTTGTGGATTTTTGGGTTTTATTCATACTTATAGTTCATGGAATTCGCTATTAGAGAGTATGTTTGTATTTTATTTCAACCTATGCATACTAGATTTTCAACTAGCCGCAGTTGTTGTGATTTTTGGGGGTTTTTTTCGATTTTTTTGGATTTTTTTCGTTTTTTCTGAATTTTTCTCCCTTTTTCTTTAACGGAATTTAACGGACAGCTGATAAAAATTAACAAACCGGACTTAACGGACCGGATGGCATCTTTGAGTGGCCACCTCTACTGTAAGGACCTAGGTGCCCGGCGAGGCGGGTCCGCGGCTCAAAGAGGGTAGGGACCCCACACTCACACGCTTTACGTATTATTGGTTTCGGAGCCACCTGGGGGTGGCTGCCACATTTTCGTCTGGGCGGGCGAGCGAGCCAAGAACACCGGGCCCCTTCCCCGGCCTCCTCCATGGAGGCTGAAGAGACGGATCCAGAAGCCCGGAAGGGCACGCCCGAATCTTCGGGCGAGGAAGATACACCCCGGAAGGGGACGCCGACTAGTTCGGTCGGTGAGGCCGTTACAGCCCGGAATGGGCAGAAACAAAAAAAAGTCCGGAAGAACGTTGCCGGCCCATCGCCAGGTCGAGCTGAGCCGGAAGGTAGCGACCAGCCGATGGCCGAGGCGGAGGAAGCTCCAGGAGAGGAAGCCCCAGAAGAAGAGGCGCCAGAGCCGGGCACAGTGGCGGCCCTACTGAAGGCGCCTGGCATCATGGAGCTCTTGGAGCAAATGGCGGCTGCTGCGGCCAAGCAGGCGAGAGAGAAGTGGGATGAAGAGACCGCCGAGAAAATCGCCTCCTTAGAAATTGCAGCGGCGGCGGCTCAAAAAGAAGCCCGAAGGAACGAGGTGGCGATGAGGAAGGCGAAAAAACAGAGCCGCCAAGCCAAAGAGGCCAAGACCTCCGCTGAACAATATGTAGCCCAGTTGAGCGATCGCCTGCTGAAGCAGCAGCTGCAGGCGCACGAGGCGGAAGAGAAGGTCGCTCAACAAGTGAGATAGCCCGAAAGGGGCACTAGTCCATCTGAGCCGCAAATGCCAATGATTCCAGAAGCGGAGGGCGACTGGAAGACGGTCAGCAAACAGCGGCCAAAGCGGAAGAGCCCGTCGCCAGGTGAGACGGTGCCGAAAGATCGGACAGACTCGCATAAAGGCCAGAAGGTCCAGCCTGTTGGGCAAGTGGATGAGCTCGAAGGCCGAAAGGTCAGGACCCAGGAGCCGCGGGTCAGATCACTGGTGCACATAAAGACACCTAGTGAACCAGAGCAAAGTAGCGACGAGTCGCTCACAGAAAGCGCTCGTGCTGTATGTGGACCTAGACCGGAAAGGATGAAAGATCGTGAGTGGAGCCCCTGGAGACCTGCATTACCGGAGTGGGGACCGGGAGAGAGCGCCAGTATGCTGGAATTCATTCCAGACACTGGTACTCCATACAGCCGGCAACCACCATGCCGTGCTATGTGGACTAAGTTCCACAGTGATCTTGTTGATGAGTTGGACGAAGGCTGGCAAATGGCCACAGAAAAATTTGGTGAAAAGCTAACCACCGCGAGATTGGTGAGAATCCAGAGGTGGTATGGTCCTGGAATGGCAGATCAAATTGCCAGAGAGGACCCGAATTGGCCTGAAAAAATGGCCTTTGCGCTCAGGCATATATATCCCTGAACCATGGGACTTGAGCAAGGGAACGCCAGAAAGGCCAGACCCCAATGATCCCCACGAGCGGTGGGAGGAGATCTCAGAATTGTCGTTCTCGTCATGCGCTTCTCCGTTGCCGGGAGATATGTCGACACGGGCGCAAGTGCATAGGATGGAAAAAGAGAGACGACATATTCATAACTGAGATCAATTTGTCCGTGCGAGGAAGTTGGATGAGCAAAAGGCTCGAAAGGCCAGCCAGCGTAGAGAGCTGAAAGCTTTGTGGCGTGAGTGGGATCGGCAGTTAAACCCTCAAAAATATGAGTGGAAGAGAGCTCATAAACGCCAGCGCAAGGCTGAGATCAGGCGGTTTTTCGCTGCAGGAGGCAGCCAAAAGGCACAGCACCTTGAGGCTAAGCCGGTGGCCGATGAGCTGGATCCGGTCTAGCA